TTCTCCTTGTGCATCCGCTCCATGTGTCTCGCGATGTGCATCTTCTGCTTGGCACGGTAGACGCAGTGGGGACACTGGAACTGAGGTTCCTTTCCGCACTCCCACTTCTGGTGGTTCCTCAAGCTGCTCTTCAGCTTGTAGACGCGCCCGCAAGCCGGACAATTGAAACCCTCCGGGTTTCCGGTGGCGCTTCCGGCGAATCCTTTACCCAGGCCACCTCCAGACCGCCACATTATTGAGGGGACACTCCAGCGCTGCCAAGCTGCTGCCCACTTCAGCCCCGTGATGCTCAGGTCCTCGGCTAGAACACACAGTCGAATTAATTACTATCTGCTCTTATTATTATCATTTATTTGTAATTTTATTTTCGAAGCAATAATTTTGAATTTAATTTTTTTCTTTAAAATTTATTTACAAAAAGTTTATTTTTGTTTAAGAGTTAGTTTCATGCCAATTGGTTTTTTATTAATAATAATTGCACTGGTGTAATCGAGGGTGAAAATAAATAATTTGTTATTCCGTATATTTTTTATTAAATATTTTTTAAAATTACACAGAAAAAATGTAGCCTTAAAATTGTTCAAGCAAACTTTTTCTGTGTATTTTTCTCCAATTTATTCTTTGTAATTTTTTCCCCTTATCTTCTTCTCGTCCTTGACCTCTTGACCCGCCACCTAAAAAATAAAAATCCCTTTAGATGTGTTCTAATTAAAAACCAAAATTTCCAATTTCAAATTAATTATCTTCATGAGGAATTGTTTAAATTTCTTCAACATTTATTTGAAAATAAATTATGTACAATTTTTTTTATAAAAAATTAATGTAAAATTGATAAAAATAAATATATTTAAAAAAATAATTAATTATGCTGAGAAGCATAAACTTGATGAGTCGCAGAATGTTTCGCGAGCTTGTCACGGCGATAGAATTTTTTATCGCAGTTGAGACAAGCGTATTTAGGCTCTTCGATGTGGAGTTTCATGTGGGCGGCAAGGTTGTGTTTGTGAGTGAATTTCCCATGGCAAATCCGACACTGGTACCTTGGGGCCTTGCCACACTCCATGTTCATGTGTCGTCGAAGGGTAGTGGCCCTCAAGTAGACGCGTCCACAGTTCTGACACCTGTGGGAGGACTGAGATCGAGTCGGGGCTCCAGGAACGGCCAAGGTCTGTCCCGCCGCCGGTAGATTGAGAGGATCCGCGTGTGTTCGCCACCTTTCCCCTGAATTAACCGGGTGGGGGTTGAACTCCGGGACAAACTGATACCCTTCCCCGGACCAAGGATCTGAAAAATAAATAAATTAATGAAGCAGCTGTCCAAACAAGAGACTCAATAAATCACCCTTGGGGTCATTAGATCTTGGGTTACTTTATAATTATTACTCCAGCTTTGGGGTAAACCCAATAAATACAATTACTCGCTTATTATTCGAACCTCGGTGTGTATTTATCAGATTTGGCGTTACAAAAATAAAGACAACAACTAGAGCGATAACAACAACAATTGTTCTGAGAGAAGAGCGTCTGGTCTCGGAGGGGGATTATTATTAATTTAATGAGAGAGAACGGTCTAAGAAGACTCTCTGGGCGGTTATTAGTCGCCGGGGTGCTGGTGGACCTCCGGCTCTAATTTATTGTCGGGATTAGCGAACGAGAGGTGGACCCGGTAGTGCCTCAGCAGACTGTGCTTGTGCTTGAACTTGCTGTGGCAAATAATGCACTCAAATTGGGCCTCCTTTCCGCACTCGAGTCTCTTGTGCCGCTGGAGCGATATTACTCTCCTGTAACGACGCCCGCAGACCTCGCACCCAAACACTTTCCTCCTCTCCTCCTCCTCATCCTCACTCTGCCCTCGCTGCTCCTCTGCTGGAAAAACAAAATCCTTTAATTAGTCCACCAATTACTTTAATTTTCCCTCTTCGCTTCTAATTCAAGGACTCGGGGGTTTATTAAATCAATAATACACACTTGTTTTTAGAAAATAACCCTCAACAAGTTTCTTTTTTATTAATAATAAAATAATAATTAATAATTAATTAAAAATAATAAAATTGTATAAATTATAAGTTATAAGCTCTATCAAAATAAATTCGTAATTATTGTTAATCGATACAATACACACAATTATTTGTAAGTACAATCAAAATAATTGATTTAATTAGAAGCATAATTAATTAATTAATTAAAAATTAATTAATTATCTATTGTTTAATAAAAAAAATTAACAAGTTAATTGTAAATAATAATAAGCTTGCAATTAAGTAATCTATTGGCATTAATTATTAAAAAAAAAAAATTAACGCACAAACAAAACAATTAATTAATTAATTAGTTAATAAAATAAATCTTTCTTTTATTTATTGAATATTAAAGTGAAAATTGTGAGCGCATTATTAAAAAAATATATTTATATATTTTAATTATTAATTACCCCCACGGAAAAAGTATATATTCTAGTATATATTCTGGAATGTATTCTGAAATATATTCTAAATATATTCCGGATAT